AAAGAAAATGGCTTTGCTAAAATCTTGTTTTCGTTATGGCTGAGATTTTTGTTCAGAGTATGAATAATTTAAAAGATGTAGATTCAATTATACTTGTACGCAAGTCTCAGTTTACTGAAAGAATAGTAAGAAAAGGAGTTTGACACTTCGTGTCACTGATGATAAAGGTGGATCCAAGTAATGGTGCCAATTCCCTGTCAAGAGATGTGAACATCATTGAAGATGTTAGTCACTAATGCTTATCTCCAGCACCAGTTGGAATGCCTCTAATCCTATTCCTAAACATGGCTTTATCTTGCAAGCAGAATAAGCTTTATAGTTAGGAATTCAGTCAAGATATTCAACATTAGCTTTATATCCAGTTTTAAGGTTCTTAGCAAGTCATCAGAAAGTAAAAGTGAATTCTGCCTTTGCTAGTGTTTGGTGCTCATCTAACTAGGCTTTCGCAGGTTTTTTTGCCATCTTCATATTAACAGAGGATCCTGCATTTGAAACAACGTAGGACGCAATTGTTAGAGGCAACTAAAGAACATGAATGTTAGTGTAAAAATTCTGGAAGAAACGAGTACGTAATACGAAGGTTAATATGCCTCAGGATCTGCATTGGTTGAACCAGTTGATCTGAAACAATTTTGTCATTTCATTTGTTTTCTTGCCTTCAACACAAGACTTAACGAATTCATGTGCATTATCAGTGCTAACATATTCTTAGTAGTGCAGGAAGAGGGAATCTGGGAATTCAGTTGAAATACTGTGGACTTACTAATGGACTTGACAAAAGCCATTAAGAATAATATAGGCAACATACAGAGTTCTGATTTAGAAGTGACGTTTTGCTTCTTGGCAACAAAAATTGCCAACTCTTCTGCTGCCAATCCAAAAGACAGAAAAATCAAGAATGAGGAGAGGGAGAGGAAAAAAAAAAAGGAAAGTAAAAGTAATAAACTGAAAAATCAAAGCTTCTGTGGAACTAGTAATAATCAAGTTTTTTTTCTGGTCAAACACATATGAAGTACAATATGCCATTTATCTCATATAGCCTCTTTATTATTATTTTTTTTCCTAACCTCCCACCCTCTCCGCACCTTTTTCACCCCCAGTCGTCAGATTTAAGATTTGAATCCTAAGTTGATAGTGAAAAGATCTCTAAGAGTCATCCCCTTACTAGTGGATCAACTCTAGTGGTTATCTCATATAGCTTAATTGGTCCTTACCCAAAAAAAAAAAAAAGAGCCATTTCGATGAAATAATCGGTACTACAATTAATCTTGATGTATAGCAAAATTCTAATTCTAAGATGTTTTTGATTTCCAAATGTTGCTAAAGGGGATCTCTGACAGATTAAGTATAAGTTTCACTTACGATATGAAAAGGAACGGAGCCAAAATCAAATAATACCTTCATAATAGGTATATAATATTACCGTAACAATATATTTTCAACGTTTTCTACCAAGTTCAAGAAAATTTTGCACATTAGATACCAACTCAAAAAGTTGCAGAGTAAGGACAAGTACACTTGGAATTTCGGTACAATTATCTAATTATTGTATTTTCTACGTAATATACTGTACTTTTTCATGTAGTATTATTGTACCCATAAATTTTATTCATGACCAACTCAATGCAAAAACACAACTACGTTTGTGAGCGTACACCAAATTACGAACAAAATACATTAACGACATTCAATTTCCCCTAACTCAACGGTATCTAATTTGAAAAAATGCAGTTTTGATCCCTAAAATTTGATATAAGAGAAATTTTAGTACCCAAAATTTGGACCTAAGCAAATCAGTTCCTAATGTTTCAAATTTGAAATACATTTAGGATTGATTGATTTTTATCAATTTCTGTCAGGATGGAGCCACATGTAGTTACATGACCTTGCCTAAAAGTAAAAAAGAAAATAAATCATGATACTAAGGATTACTTACTCACATAACCATACGTGTGTAACAAAAAGGAAAAAAAGACACGTGTGTGTGTGTATATATATATATGTATCCAGCGTTCCAAAATTAGTTTCGATCTTGACTTCATTTGTTTGTCCCTCCTCCTTTAAAAGATGTAAGATCAAAATTTTTGACAAGGGTCAAGTGACTCCAGCCTAGTGAACATTAAAAAAATAGCTAAATGGTCCTGAATGTGCTTTAAACTAGAAACATTACGGACCAGATTTGCTTTGCGTCAAACTTTGGGGATTGGAATAGCTCTTGTTCTAATAGTACACTTTGTATAGATGGTTGAGCCGTTGTTCAAATATTGTAAATCTTGATTTGCTATAAAATTCATCTATTGTTTTCGAAAAAAAAAAAGAATAGCTCTTGTTCTAAACTTTATGAACAAAAACAGCAATTTTTCCTAATAGGCCCCATCGAAATGGCAAAAGCGAGTTCGTATGGGAAAAATTCTATCGTGCAACCTTTAACAGTGGACCAGACCTCAACTTTTCATCTTTGCCTTCTTCACTTCGTTAGCTGAGATTAAATTTTTGCTATTGAAATGTGAACAATGTCAAAAATCAACATTCCTTTATTCTGATCGCCATAAATCAAGGACAATGCTATAGTGCTAACAGTTATGGTAACGATACTGAGGAAATCTACTGTTACAAGTTTATATTGACTTTAGTGACATATTAGGCTTTTTAGCGTCTTTTCTAATATTATATTAGAATAGTTAATATTAGTGTTAGTAAGTTTTTCATTAAGATTGGAATCTATATCTCTTAAACAGTAAGTTTTTTTTTTCACAAAATAGAAGTTTTTGCTTTGAGTAATTAAATTTACTTATTATTTGACAAAATTTATTTTTCTTTAAATTAAACTTACTAATAGTAAAAGGAAAAATATTGCATCTTTAAGTAAAAATTGCCTGTTTCCTTACATTATGAAGCGTATTGGAGCTATTACTCTCATAGACTGTCTTGCTCCTATTCTACTCTCACAATTATCTTGGCTAAAATTTTTATGATGAATTTGTGCTTTTTCCCTAATTTTATTTTTTGTTACAACTTCCTCTCTTAATTAACAGACAACATTAACGGTTTAATAAAATGACATTAATGACCTCCGAATAACAATTAGTATAAAAATACTTTGAAAGGAGATCTGGATTTTTTTTCTCGGGAGAATGTTCATAAAGATGAGTTCTAACCGTAAAATGAAAAATCATATGCACACATATAATCTACTATGTAATTTAAATTAAATTCATTTCATGTACAAAACAATTCTAAAATAATTAGCACACTATAATACTATGTTATATTAACAACAACAACAAATTTTTTTACCGAAATTCTCAAATATCCATGACATGTGTACAGAGATATTTTACCGGGAGAATTGCATCAACTGTACCTCATATATCATCAATGTGAAAATTTAGTCTTTCAAAATGAAAATGATAAATTTTAGTCCCTATTAAGTAAAAATTGATCAATATTTTTGCTGGAATTGGTCACGGATTCTTCACATGATCAATTTTTAAAGAATAAAAATGGCAAATCACTTCACTGTTCATTAAATGTATGGGACCAACATTTTTTTAATTTATTTATACCCTCAAATGGTGAAAGCCTGCATCCATGGATATCTAATGAGTCAATATGCGTTGACTCGATAGACTCGGCTGTTCTTTTGAGTCCTGGAGTCGAATCGGCTTTAATCTTCTAAGTTTGAATGCGTTTCAACCGGCTCTATGCTCTCCCGGATATTGCAGAACGGAAGCTGGAGTTCCGGTGATGACTCAAATTCGACCGATTCTTTGAACCACAGGTCCTTTGATTGACACAGGGCAGGGAGGTTGAGAGCTTTTGGAATGGGTTGCTGCCCCTCTCTAGAATTATAGTGCCGATGATTTCAATACAAACAAACAACCCTTCTTGATACTTGACTCAATACAAACAAACAAACAACCCATTTTGATGGTTCATTTCTAAGCCAGAATTTAAACGTTTACATGGAAAAAATTAATTTACTCAAATTAGCTACTTTCACTTACTCCAAATGAGATTTTATGAAATTACTAAAGGGGAAATAAGATAGGACAATACTATTCAGTTTCTCAATGCTTAAGTGCATACATCAATAAAAGTGATTTGCCATTTTTACCCTTTAAAAACTAGTCATGTAATGGGCCCTTGAGTAATTCTGGCTAAAAATTGAAGGGTTAATTACATTTACCTCCCTCCAAATTAGGCCAAACTACTAATCAATCCCCGTGATTTAAAAACATAACAGATACCTCCTCACAATAACTTCCGTCACTTGTGATTAACGGAAGTAAGGAAAAAGACTAAATGCCCTTCAACATGTCTATCAATTTCTAAAACAAAAAAAATTTTATTTTAAAATTACACATATAGCCTTTTGACGGGAAAAGCTATTGAGGTCTCCTATATATTTGCCACTACTCCAGCCGCTATTCTAGCAATCATCCTATTTATCATCATACTCCTACACTCTCTCTCCTCCTATATTAACCCTTTCTCCTCTGCATGGTTCAAAGCTTTGATCTTTAAACTTTGATCATTCTACTCCTTCTTGTTTATTCAAATATTTTACTTTCTAATCCCGTTGATAGCCAAAACAAAACAGAAGATTGTAGTAGTATTGTTTGGCTTGTTGAAGTGACGAGAACTTGGAAGGATGGTATATCTTTAAACTCATTAATATTTACTCACTTTAGCATTTCATTTTCCTTGAAGCTGGATCTAGATAAAAATGAAATGTGTTCTAAAATGTCTGGACAGCAATCTGAGGCAACAACAGCTGCTGCATGTGGACTATTTCATGGAGGAACATAGGTGTCAATTGTGGATAACATGCCTTTTGAAGGAACACAGGAATCTGTTCAGGCTTCTTAGGTTATTACTTACTCTCTAAAGAATTATGTGAACAATAAATGGACTTTTCACTAATTTATTTAAAGGCTTTCATACATCAGGGGTCAATAGATTACATAAGTGGTACCAATACTAGAGCATTAGAAAAGATGTTTGGAAGTTCACGTGCATCCATGCTAATGGGTAATGATCTTGCGAGAAAGGTGTTGAAGGCAAAAGCTACCAAAACCTCAGCATTGAATGTTGCTCCTAGTTCATTAGCTACTGCAGAGGCTTCAACTATATGGCAGGAACAAGACCAGCTGCAAATTCTAATGGAGAAGAGACGTTTGCACATTCTAATAGTAGCCCTTCTACCTCATCTGTTGCACCAGTTGTTGGAAAATCTTTTACATCTTAATATGTTATGCATTGAGTCCTACGTTCCTAGTACTTTATTTTGGTTGCAAACTTGGTTGACTTAATGCTTTTACCAAGTCTTTTGTGGCATCAGTAGTAATTGGATAGCTGTCTGGATCTTATGCAATGTTTCATAAGTCCTATCAGTAGCTATTAATCTAGTATTGCTGATGATGTAACAAAACTGTTCATTCCGGTGAAGAGCATTTGCATGTTTTCTCATAATATTTATTTGCAAAAAAATATGCATTTTGGTGCAGATCTAGCATTAAGATAGATGCTTGAGTATTTCATTTGAAGTAATTTTTGGAGAATTTGGAAGATTAGTTCCCAATGTTGATGCTATGTTTGGCTGTTCTGGAGTAAGTTTCTCATGTTTGGCAAACTATGGTAATGACTAATCTCCAGGTATAGAGATGTGCATTATAATACTAAAATTTTGCAAATTTTGATTGATTTAAACTTCAATAAAAAAAAAAGATTCAAAGGATAAATTAAGTGCTCAATCACTTGGAAAAACACAATTGATCATTTTCCTAAACCATCTATGCCGAAGCACGACTAGAAGAGACCACATTCAGATGGGTTTTTTTAGAGTGTTTTCATTGTTTAATCTTTATCCGGATGAAAAAGGCTATTTTCGGAATAAAAGTATAGACAGATAATAGCATGTGGGTCTTGAAGGACATTTTTGGGCTTTTACTTTAATTTTTGGCTGGCACTAGTAGAATCCCTAACAGTTTTAGACGGTAGGGTGGCTTTTGTTAAACAGTAATAAATTTGAAGGGGTTATCTGTTATTTTTTGAGACTGCAGGGATTGATTGGTAGTTTGGCCTAACCTTAGGGGAGGTAAATGTAATTAACCCAAAATTGAATGGAAAAGTGACCGGAGACTAAAAGGGATCATTTTTATTTGTTAGGGATTAAAATTGATTATTTTTATTTTGAGGGACTAGATTTCCACATCGATGATATGTGAGGACAAGCAGTGCAATTCTACTTATTTTACCATGTTGTATCTTAGATCTACTCAATAATGCTGATTTGAGGAGGCATATTTTTTATAATACAATCATCTTGAATTTAATTAACAAGTTGAGATTTTTTTTAAAAATAAAAGTGAAGTATTTTAGGAACTTAGTTTTTGATTTTCTCCAAATTAAAAAAATGCTATATTTAGCAATTGTTGTCATTTACACTTTATTGTCAAGACCAACTTTTATCAATGTAAAATTAGTGTCATTAACAGTAATTGAAGTTCCACTAGCATTACTTTATCTAGACATATATATTTAATCTAAGTAATAGAATATATTAGTTAACTCTTAGGGGTATTAATATATTTTTGACATCACTATTACACAATGTTAAAATTGACTAATGGTTTAGGGGATAAAATAAGAAAAAATAACTTTAGGAAATAAAGAGCAAAAGTGGCTATAGCTTAGGGGGAGTTTTTGTGATTAACCCTTTATAATGCGACACAATTTTTTTACATATTTTATGAAGTTACATGAAAAATAAAAAAAATTTATACTAATTTTAAAGTGTATAAAACACACAAGATTTTTAAATGATAGGCACAATCATGTAGTATACAGGTATATTATGAGTGCTTACTAAATGTAATACTAAGTTTCAATCATTAATAAAAAAAATCTTAGTATTATTTCAAATAAACTTCCTAATACTAGTTTGCTATAATTTTTTAAAATAAAATAGTAAATTCGTGCCATAAACTAGTAAGTTTTGATCATTAATCAAATTTACTATGTTATCAACAAGATTTACTATATCTATAGAAACTTGCTATTATTTGAACTAAACTTACTTTCTAAAAAGTAAGTTGGGGACATAAAGTAGCAATTTATTCCTAAAAAGAAGTAAGTTTCATATTTCAATTTACTTTTTGAGACATAAAAGTTTTATTACATTAACTTATTATTTTAGATGAGAACCTTAATACCAAAATTTTGAGGCATTATCTTATTTAGGTAGATAAGTCGAATAGATAATTAAATAGTTGCTAAAAGTGTGACAACCGTAAAGATTATTTCCCAAATTTTTAGGCATGATCCTGTTCAAGTGTATGGATCCAACAGGTAATCAAACGGCCGTTAAAAGTATGACAACCTATAATACCGGGTAAAAACTATTTTGTTGCATTTCCCATAAATAAAATGTCAAAAGCTAGCATTCCCTTATGTCATTCACTCCATTTGAACAAAGAGACCTGACCATCAAGATAATTTCCAGCACCACAAGCCCCAGCATTGATTGAGAAATTTCAAGTGAAAATGGAAAACAATTTCTGTGGAAAGAAAAAAAAGCATTGAACTTTCTGGTTTAAACTTTATTGGTGGACCAAATCTGAATCATCTTATTCATTCTTCACTAGCATTTGCACTACTAGCTTCCTAGAAAGGACTAATTTTTAGCTGCTAAAACCTCTCCTTCTTTGTCTACTTAACAAAATCCATCTTGAGTCAGCAGACTAGATCCATATTCAAGCAACAAAAATGGCGATGCTATTGTTGGTGCTACGGTCCAGGTTCTCTTGGAGAAGGCACTTTCCCTTGCCACTGATAAGATTGGTTTGGTGTTTGGTTTCAAGGATGAGTTAGAAAGCATGAGAGAATCTATAGTCATGATCCAAGCGCTCTTGGCTGATGCTGAAAATAAACAAAGCCATAACAAGGCAGTGCAACTTTGGCTCAGGAGGCTTGAGGGAGTGGCTTTTGATGCTGATCATATGTTGGACGAGCTCCAATATGAAACTCTTCGTCACAAGGTGGTGAATTACAGAAACCAACAAGTTAAGGGGAGTAAGGTATGTTTCTTCTTCTCCTTCTCTTACACTAGAATAGCTTTTCAATGGAGAATGGCTTCCATGGTCAAGGACATCAACATGAAATTCAAAAAGATCAACAAAGAAGCACAAAATTTTGGGCTAAACACCAGGCACCAAATTGATGCAGCCCTCCCACCTACTGCATCTAGAATTACAACAAATCGACAGACTGACTCTATTGTGCACTCCATATGTTGTTGGAAGAACCAATGAGGAATCAAGGATAGTGCAGATGCTGCTGAGCTCATCTGAATATGTTGTTCCTGTTACTCCCATTGTTGGCATGGGAGGGCTAGGTACTACTCTAGCCAAATTAATCTACAACAATCCAAAAATCGATGAGCATTTTGACAAAAAAACTTTGGGTTTGTGTCTCTGACAAATTTGAAGTGATTGAGTTGTTCAAACTCATTTTAGAATTAATGACGGGAACTACAATCCAATTGTCTAGTAGGGACGCCATTGTTCAAGAAATTCAGAGAGTACTAGAGGGGAAAATATGCTTGCTAGTTCTTGATGATGTGTGGAACGAAAACGAAACATTGTGGGATGACTTTTTTGATTCTTTGGTGGGACTCCACAAATGGAAGTAGATGTCTTGTAACTACTTGTTCAGAACAAGTGGCAATCACTGTGTCTAAACATTCTCACTATCAGTTAGGAAAGTTATCCGATGATGATTGCTGGTCTATCCTGACAAGAAAAGCAAGTAAGAATGGAGAACTACCCCAAGAATTGATTGTCATGAAACAACAAATTTTGAGAAGATGCAGTGGTCTACCACTAGCTGCAAGCGTGCTAGGAGGTTTGCTACGCGTAACAAGAGAAGATGAATGGCTTTCAATTGTCAAGAAAAAGCTTTTGACTATAAAGGAAGATGGAAACAGTGTCCAGCAAATACTTAAGTTGAGCTTCGACAATTTGCCAACTTCTTCCATTAAAACATGTTTTACATATTGTTCTGTATTTCCTAAGGATGCTACAATGCAAAAGAATCTCCTAATTGAACTTTGGATGGCTGAGGGTTTTCTCCAACCATGTCTTAATGATCAGTCAACAATGGAGGACATAGGCGATCAGTATATCAGAATTTTCTTGCAAGCTTCCTTATTAGAAGAAGGAAAATATCATGGGGATGCACATTATAAAATGCATGATCTGGTACATGACCTAGCAGAAATAATCTCAACATCTAAGCTGGAAAATGGTGAAATGGACAATCATAATCAAGTCCCCTACCTTGCATTGAACTCATCCGATGGGATGACTGTAAAGATTGTGAGAGATATGTCAATCTCAGTTCGCACACTGTTTCTAAAGGACAAATCTTTTGACATGTTACCCAAGTTCAAGAACTTGTATGTTCTAAATTTGGATGGTGCTTACCTCAAAGAGCTACCAACATCCATTGGTGAACTAATTGTTGGGAAAGGGGTACCAGTACAGGCACATAATATTAGAGTTAGCCCAGGACAAATTTATCTTTCCCCAAGTACCAGTTAAAACAGGAACAAATCAACTCACCAAGTAATAATGCCAGCAGTGATAATAAAATGCAAGGAAAATAGAAAGCACAGGACACCAAGATTTTTACGTGGAAAACCCAATTGGAAAAAATCACGGGACCTAGTCCAGTCAAAATCTCCACTATCACAATAATGGGAATACACAGGTCTATTCGAAATATTCGGACGACAATAATATCACCACCACTAAACAAGTGAAATTGCTACAAAATCACTCCAAAAAACTACAACTGTCAAAGAAGTGAGTTTGGAAAGATGTTACCAAACGAAGAGGAAATCTGAAATCTGAACCGGTAGATGAGTAGAACTTGACAAGAGGATCGCGTGTGTAAAATTTCATCTCAATCAGGTTTTAAATTACCCTCCAATTAAGACCTTGAAGTTTCTCTCTCTCTAGCTATTTCTCTCTCTTCGTGTCTCTCAAAAGTGGCGGCTGGCTCTTTTTCTCGCACACCAGGACCGAAAGCATCTTGCGGCTGCTATTTGTATTTAAGCTTGAGAAACCCTCAAGCGTTGCTTTCTTGTACAAATGGGCTGGCCCACAAATGGGCTGACCCACATCCAACAATCTCCCCCTCCAGCTTATTTGGGAGGTTCAACCAAACCTGTTTCTTGTCTGTAAAATAAGAGTTTCTCCTTAGGTAATATTTTGGTAAACATGTCAGCACCATTATCATCTGTATGTACTTTCTCAAGTGGCAACAACTTGGAATCCAGTACTTCCCGAATCTAATGATATCTCACATCAATGTGTTTGGATCGAGAGTGAAATGTGGAATTCTTACACAAATGAATAGCACTCTGACTTTCACAATAAAGGTTGTACTTCTCTTGCTTCATACCCAACTCCTGAAGAAATTTCTGCAACCAAAGAGTCTCCTTACATGCTTCAGTGGTTGCGATGTACTCCGCCTCCGTACTGGAAAGGGCGGTACACTTTTGTAGCTTACTTTGCCATGATACTGCTCCCCCTGCAAAAATCATCAAGTACCCAGATGTGGATTTCCTATTGTCAAGATCACCTGCCATATCTGCATCAGTGTATCCATCTAGCATAGTTTTGCCATTGCCGAAAGATAGACACAATCTAGGAGTTCCCTTGAGATATCCGAGAATCCATTTGACAGCATTCCAATGTTCCTTACTAGGATTAGAGAGATACCGACTGACTACTCTAACTGCATGAGCAATATCTGGCCTGGTGCAAACCATAGTATATATCAAGCTACCAACAGCCGAAGCATAAGGAATCTTCTTCATGTCTTCTTTATCTTTCTCACTTGTAGGACACTGTTTGATATTCAATTTAAAGTGACCTGCAAGTGGAGTTGAGACTTCCTTAGCATTGCTCATGTTAAATCTGTTGAGCACTTTCTCAATGTATTTTTCTTGAGACAACTAGAGCTCCCATTTTGCCTGTCACGTGAGATTTTCATCCCTAGTATCTGTCTAGCCGGATCTAAATCCTTCATTGCAAAGGATTTACTTAACTCCATTTTCAACCTGTCAATTTTTATAGTATCACGGCCAACAATCAACATGTCATCAACAGATAGCAAGAGAATAACAAAATTACCATCTGAAAAATTTTTCACATAAACACAGTGATCAGATGTAGTCCTGTGGTACTTATAGTCTGTCATGAAGGAGTCAAACTTCTTATACCACTGTCTCGGTGCTTGTTTCAACCCATACAAACTCTTCTTGAGACGGCATACAAGATTTTCCTTACCACTTTCTTTGAACCCCTCCGGTTGTTCCATATAGATCTCCTCTTCCAAGTCGCCATGCAGGAAGGCTGTCTTCACATCAAGCTGTTCGATCTCTAAATTCAAACTGGTTGTAATACCAAGAACAACTCGAATTGATGACATTTTTACCACAGGAGAGAAGATTTCTTCAAAATCTACACCCTTCTTTTGACTAAATCCCTTCACAACCAATCTTGCATTGTACTTTGGTTGTGAGGTGTGCTCCTGAGCTTTCAATCTGTAGACCCATTTATTCTTCAGAACTCTCTTACCCTTAGGCAGTTTCACTAAGTCATAAGTATGATTCTCATGCAGGAACACCATCTCCTCTTGCATGGCTTGCAACCAATCTTCTTTGTTCTCATGCTCTAAAGCCTCACTGTAGGACTCTAGCTCTCCTCCATCTGTTAACAACAAACATTCATGGGGATTATATCTACTAGAAGGTCTTCTCTCTCTAGTAGATCTCCTAAGCTCATCTTGTGGTGGCGGTGGTGGAGTAGGTGGCGCCTCATGTTCAGGTTCATCAGCAGTAGGATTATTACCATCATCAATATCCTCTCTCTGCTCTGTCTCAGTTCCCCCTTGATTAAAATCAACAGGTACTGGAATTGGATCTGGATCTGAATTTGAGCTAGCAGGAATATCATCTGAGAATTTTGAATTATCACCTTTATCCATGTCTTCAATGGTTTGATCTTCAAAGAAAACAACATCTCTACTCCTGATCACCTTCTTCTCGATAGCATCATACAACCTATAACTAAAATCTTCATGTCCATAACCCAAGAAAATACATTATTTTAATTTTACATCAAGTTTTGACCTCTCATCCTTGGGAATATGAAAAAATGCCTTGCAACCAAAAACTCTCAAATGCTTAAAGGATACATTTTTTCCCGTCCATACCCTCTCTGGGATATCACCATCTAGAGGAACTGATAGAGAAAGATTTATCAAATCAACTGCAGTCCTCATTGCCTCACCCTAAAAGGGTTTTAGCAGTTTAGCATTAGAGAGCATATCTCTGACCAGCTCAGTGATGGATCTGTTCATTCTCTCTGCTACTCCATTCTCTTGAGGAGTTTTTGGTACAGTTTTCTCCAATCTGATTCCATGGGACTTGCAATAGATTTCAAATGGTCCTCTGTACTCACCACTATTATCAGCACGAATACACTTCAACTGCTTGTCAATCTCTCTTTCAACTTTGTTGTGAAAATCTTTAAACACATCCAAAACCTGATCTTTGGATTTCAAAGCAAAACACCAAACCTTTCTAGCAAAGTCATCAATAAAAGTTACAAAATAAATAGCACCACCAAGAGACTTATCTTTCATATAACAAATATCAGTGTGCACCAATTCTAACGGATTCAATTTTCTAGATGGAAGAAAATTTTTGAATGCAACTCTGTGTTGTTTTCCATAAATGCAGTCAACTCAAGGTTTAAATGCATTATCTCTAACTTTAGGTAGGAGCTGTTTGCGAACAAGTGTCTCTCTTTTTAACCCATGTGCCCAAGTCGCCTATGCCACAGGTCAATTGATGAATCACGAACTGCATTGACTTCTCCTTTCCCCAACTTGGCTTGCATCAAGTAGAGGGTACTCTGTTTCTTTCCTCTAGCAACAACAAGATTTCCTTTGCTGAGTTTCCATTTACCTCCACCTTACAAGCTATGGTAACCCTCATCGTCAAGTTTTCCTGTAGAGATAAGATTAAGGCGAATATCAGGGACATGTCGAGCATTTTTTAATATCAGCTGGCACCCGGTATCTATATCCAAATATATGTCTCCCATGCCAACAACTTTGCATGAGACCTCATTTCCCATCCTAACATATCCAAAATCTCCTTCGATGTAGGTTGAGAAGAAATGTCTGTGAGGAGTAATATGGTAGGATGCACCCGAATCAACTACCCAAACACTGTCATAATGAATAATATTCACCTGACCATCATCACAGAACACAAACATATCATCATGAGCTGCTGCAACTGCTGTAGTTTCTTCATCACCTTTTTCCTTCGCCTTACCCTTTTCCTCAGCTTGTTCCCGTTTTAGAATTCTGCACTCCTTCATATAATGTCCATTCTTTTTACAATAATAGCATGCAACATTTTTTCGCGACTCAGACCTGTCTCTGGATTTGTCATTCCTATTGTGGGGTCCTCTACTTTTACTTCTCCCTCTTCTTTCTTTCTTTTTTGTCACCAGAGACTGGGACTCATAGACAATTCCTTGTTCCTTCCTCCTGAACTCTTCATTCATCACGGCCTCTTTTGCAATGGCCATGGTCAACATACCATTCGGAGCTGAATTGCTGACGGAGACCACCATAGTTTCCAACTATCCAGTAGTGAACTAAATAATAATAGAGCCTGCACTTCATCATCCAATTTCAAATTTAACCTAGTTGCTTGGTTTATCAATTCCTAAAAATTACTCATGTGTTCAGTCATATCTTCCCCATCTTTATATCTCATTCGAGTAATCTGCTTCAGACAACTAGCCTTGTTCAAACCGGTCTTCCGTTCATACATACTTTCAAGCTTTTTCCATAATACATCAGCTCTGGTGTCATTAGCAAAATGTTGAAAAATATTTTGACCAATCCATTTTCTAATATTGCCAACAGTTTTCCTGTGCATAACAGCCCATTTTTCATCACTCATATCACTTGGTCTGTCTTTATCTCCTAGAACAGGTTCAAACAAATCTCTACAATACAGATAGTCTTCCATTCTAGGCTTTCAAATCGAATAATTAGTAGCATTCAATTTTATCATGCAACCACTATCCGAATCATCCATTTTTAACCAGTACAATTGAGCAGCCTAACTTGACTGCTCTGATACCACTTGTTGGAAAAGGGGTACCAGTACAGGCACACAATATCAGAGTTAGCCCAGGACAAATTTATCTTTCCCCAAGTACCAGTTAAAACAGGAACAAATCAACTCACCAAGTAATAATGCCAGCAGTGATAATAAAATGTAAGAAAAATAGAAAGCACAGGACACCAAGATTTTTACGTGGAAAACCCAATTGGAAAAAATCACAGGATCTAGTCCAGTCAAAATCTCCACTATCACAATAATGGGAATACACAGGTCTATTCGAAATATTCGGACGACAATAATATCACCACCACTAACCAAGTGAAATTGCTACAAAATCACTCCCAAAAACTACAACTGTCAAAGAAGTGAGTTTGGAAA